GATTTTGGGATTTCCATTTCCCATCCACACTGGCCCTATCCTGGAAAACCTGCTCCCAGCAGACCTGCAGGACAGCAAGGCTCAGGAGTGCAGGCTGCAGTTCCCAGCCTGGCACTGCACAGGGTGACCTGCCAGCTCCAGTAACAGAACATTCCCTCCTCTTTTCCCCTGTATCCCACACTTGTGACCTCTCCCTCCCTCCTCTTGTCTCCTCACAGTCCTGCCTGTGCTGCTGGTGCCAGAGGCCCGCCCTGAGCATCACCCCCATGGATGAGAAGGGATCAGTTGGGAAGTGGAAAGCCACGGGGCAGGAGCTGGGGCTGGACCGGAGCAGCTCCCGCCTGAGTAACAAGTACAGCTCCTCCTAAATCCCCGTCCCCTGCGGGGTCAAGGACAAGGCACAGGGCCAGGACAGCAGGACCCCTCTGCCTCTCTCCCGTGGCTCCTTCCTGGCTGGGCCTGAATCATCTTTGCCTTCACGCTGTAACCCACCTGGCAGGAGCTGCAGCACTCCATGGCCCCCCAGGCCCAGCTCCAGGCCCAGGCTCTGCCCCCCACCCTGAGGGAGGGGGAAGGGCATTCACATCCTTATGGGATTGTTCATTTCCTTGCAGGAAAACCAAGTGACTTCTGGCCATTTGTCCGGGGGTGGAACGCGGGGCTGGGGGGGGGAGATGTGCGTGGAAAAGGGAAGGCAAGTTGGGATGTGGTCGCTTGGAGATGGATGTGGGATGAGGAGGGGAGGGAGAGGACCACGAGTGACAATTCCCAGCTGAAAGAGCAAAAAAAAAGAGCTTTGGTTGCTGGGCCTGGAGTCGGGATGAGATCCAGGGATGGCTGGCAGAGCACCAGTGGTGGGACCCCTCCTCCTGCTTGTGGTGGGGACAGTCACTCGGCCTCACTGTGTCACCAACCTGCCCCAGGGAGCCCTGAAAGCCCCCTTCTCTTCCCCTTTTCCTGGGAATCCTGCCCCAGACTCCTGAGCTGGGAGGGGGGTGAGTGGCACATGCAGGTGACCACGTGTGACCGCAGGGTTTGGGGACCAGGAGTCCCCAGGTGTCACTGGGGGGAACATCCAGCCAAGCCATCGGGTCCAGCTTCCCCTTCCCAGGACCAAGGGAGCACCAGGATGGCTGGGGAATGCTGTTCCTTCCAGGGAAGAGTTGGTAGGTCCAGGAAAGGGAAGGCAGAGATGGCTCCGATCCAGGTGAGGCCGATCCCAAGGATCCAGCCCTCAGCTTTCCAACCCCCCTGGAAGCACCTAATGCTCTGCTGGGCAGGTTGGCAAGGGAGAGGATCCAGGTGTGCCCCTCCAGGAAAGCATCCAGCCTCAATCCGGGCTCCTCAGCAGCTGGAATGTCCTTCAGCCCACAGCTCCTGGGAGGGGGATCACCCGATCCAAAGGGAAAAAGGGGTGCCCTGGATTTTGATGCCTGGAGTTGGTGTTCCCTCTGCCGTGTCCTGGCCAAGGGACACCAAGTTCCACAGCATTTGGGAGGGGACAGAGACGTCCTTGTGGTCAACTGAAGGTGGCAAAGGCAGCGGGGAAGGTCCGATCTCAGCTGAAAGAGCCTCTGGAACGAACCAAAACATGGCAAAGAGCTTCCTTAAATTCCCTCCCGACAATATCAATCCCCTGAGTGATTTTCCAGCAATTTTCGACTGGACAGGGCTTGGAGCAACCTGGTCTGGTGGAAGGTGCCAGAGATGATCTATAAGATCCCCTCCAACCCAAAGCAATCCATGATTCCATGTTTATTCTAGCAACCTCTTGCCAAAAGTGTAAAAAAACCTACATGAAAAAGTTTCAGTTACCAAGTCTTTGATGATTTTCTGTTGGTTTTCCCTTCTTTATTATCCTTCTTTTTATTTCTTTCCCCTTTTCACCTTGCCACAGGAAAAAAAAAAAAGTGGAGAGAGGAGAACAGGAGAAAAGACTTGCAATTAAAACGTTTTCCAGGTGTTGGGGTTTTTTTTTAGCTGCAAATGTTTTACAAACAAGTCATATTTCTGAAAGACAAATGGGTTTCAAGGCAAGCAGAAACTGAGGAATAGGTAGACCAGCCTGTTTTCCATACATTTCCCAACCTACTGGAGTAATTTCTGTTTGTGTTGCAGTGCTGCTGTTGGGCTCTGGCTGCATTTGTTGGTGGAAAAATGAAGTCAAAAGAGAAAATTGATAAAGACTGAGATGTTCCAGCTCAGACACCTTAGTAAAAGGGTATTTTTTAATGATTCTGCTTATAAAAAGATCAGAATTCTGTGTATTTCTGTATTTGTCCACATTTCCAGACAAATGGAGTCTGTGATTTCAACTCCCACTGTTACGTGGGACCACGCTGGCATGGGCAGGATGGATCCCTGGCAGCAATCCCACAGGAAAAGCAGCTGGATTAGGAAATCCAGGGTTCAGCTGGCCCCTTGGCACAACCCCAGCACAAACCTGCCAGCAAGACCCACTTTGCCAATTCCTGTTTGACAGAGTGATTTTATAGAGAAAACCTGACCTTTCCCTTCCTGCCTCTCCCTCCTCTGTATGTTCCTAATAAAACAGGGTGGTGTTTGAAAGGAAAACCTCTGGTACTGAGCAGCAGGGGGGCTGCAAAGTCTCTTAAATACTTCCTTGAGTGGCAGTAGGTTCCTTTGGGATGAGCCTTGTCCCTCCTCCACGTGCTGAGCAACCCACAAAGGTTCCCAAGTCCTCAAAGCCCTGTGATTTCAAACCCCATTACACCCTCTAAAGCTTGATTTGAGCCCCTTGGCTCCCTGAGGGCTCAGACTTATTCTGTGCACCTGATTCTGCACCTCTGACCTGGAAATCCTGGGAAGAAAACAGCAAAAACGCTTGGAGAGGGGAAGAAATATGATGGGAGAGTGACAGAACTGCCTTCTCTCCATCATTTTTATCAGGGTGTGTAGAGACAGGACAAGGGGGAATGGCTTCATACTGACAGGGCAGGGTTTGGTGGGATATTGGGAAGGAATTCTTCCCTGGGAGGGGGGTGAGGCCCTGGCACAGGTTGTCCAGAGAAGCTGTGGCTGCCCCTGAATCCCTGGAAGTGTCCAAAGTCAGGCTGGATGGGGCCTGGAACAACCTGGGATAGTGGAAGGTGTCCCATGGCAGGGGGTGGCACTGGATGGGCTTTAAGGTCCCTTCCAACCCAAACCATTCCATGATTCTGTGGCTTTCCACACCTGTGCTGAGCAGAATTCAGTGTCACCTCTGCAGCATCTAAATTAATAAACTTTATTCATAGAAGAAAACACAGTTTGCATCAAAGCCGTGAAAGAAACAACCAAAAAGAACCGGCCTGGACCCAGGGAATTCAACACATGGACGTCACACACATCCATGGGGACATCCATGGGGACATCCATGGGGACATCCATGCCATCTCCAAAGGCTACTGCATCTCCTCCTCCCTCTGTGCCCTGTACTCCTTCATGCTCCTCTGCAACAAGAGCACAGGACCAAAGTCAGCAGCACGTCCCTGGGTGACTCGTGCAGCCCAGTGCCACCACCCTGCAGTGCTGGGACTTCTCTGCCCGGAGCCTGGAAAGGCTGGGAAGCTCTGACAGAGCTCCAGGTGCTTTTGGAAGTGACTGATTTTTCACAGTCACTCCAAGGGAAAGGAAGCCATGCCCAAGGAAACCATCAGGTTTTCATGGCAAAGGCGCCTCCAGCACAGGCCTTGGGGACAGACACAAGACTGAGAGATGGAAAAGGCTCCTGAGCTCCTCAGGAATGGTCTCACCTCAAAGGTGCTGAGCACATGCTGGCAAACAGCCATCAGGTCATTGAGCCCCTTCCGGAACGGCTCCACCGCTGGAAGGGCCCCTGTGGGAAGGGAGCCGGGTCAGGGACACTGAGGTGGTTCCAAAAGCTGGGTTAGGGACACTGAGGTGGCTCCAAAAGCTGGGTCAGGGACACTGAGGTGGCTCCAAAAGCTGGGTCAGGGACACTGAGGTGGCTCCCAAGGGCTGGTGGCCTCTCCCTGGGCAGTCCCCACCTCCCCCCTGGGTGTGTGCCCACTCACCCCCCTCCTGCTGCCCACCCGGGGCTGAGCTCCCTGTGCCAGAGCCTGCTGCCAGCCAGGGGAGCTGCTCCCCGCTCCAGCTGGGAACAGGAGCTGGAGCATCCCACTGGAAGCAGCCTCTGAGGCTCAGCCATGGGGCACAGCACTACAGAGGGGAGGTGAAAGGGCTTTGCTTTGCTTAAATGAGTCCTGCTGGGAACCTGGCATGAGCAGGGGGGAATTCCATGAAAAAAGGAGCCCAGCCATGCAGGAACAGCCCCCAGCCCTACCTCTGGTCTGGATCCTGAAGTTGATCTTGCTCTCTGAGGGGTGTGTGATGCAGTAGCCACAGAACTCCACGTCAGGGCTGTGGGAGGGGAGAGAGGAGAGGGAGCAGTGAAAGCCAGGCCACCCCACAGCAAAGCTCAGGGAAGTTGGAGCCAAGACCTGCTGGAGCTTGGGATGTTTCTACCATGATTTAGGGTCTTATGGGAGGGATTTGCTGAGAGGAAACCACTTGTGGGACCTTCACCCCCCCCATCTGTCCCCGAGCTGCAGCTGGAGCTCTGCAGGGCAAAGACCTGGCTGGCACCCTGTAGGCACCATCCTGGCACCATAACCAGTGCAGGGGCAGCCCTGCAGAGCCCAAACAGGGAATCCTGGATGCTTGGAAGCCTCACTGTACCCAAAGCTGCTGCATGAACAGAGGTTGATGGGCCCAGGGCAGTGCAGGAGTTACTGAGGTGCCTCTGCTCCAGCAGCTGAGAGGGGTGGGAGAAATTTGGGTCCCCCAGCAAAAAGAAGAGCCCCTTTCCTGGCAGCAGCTGTTGGTCTTGTCACAGAGATTTCTCAGAAGGACTGACATGACACTGCAAAGCAACTGCTGTCTGAGATGATGCCTTGGACTCCCTCCTGCAACTGTTGTGAGGTTTTGCCAGCAGCTCTTCACCAACCCCCAGCCCTGCCCAGGGTGATGACATTAAGGAACCAGGGGGGACCTGTCTGGCCATCCCAGCTCTGGGATCCTCAGCACAGGAAACACATGGAGCTGCTGGAGGAGTCCAGAGGCCATGGAGATGCTTCAAGTGCTGGAGCCCCTCTGCTCTGGAGCCAGGCTGGGAGAGCTGGGGGGGTTCACTGGGAGAAGAGAAGGCTCCAGGGAGACCTGAGAGCCCCTTCCAGGGCCTAAAGGGGCTCCAGGAGAGCTGGAGAAGGACTTGGGACAAGGGCCTGGAGTGACAGGACAAGGGGGAATGGCTTCCCACTGCCAGAGGGCAGGGAGAGATGGGATATTGGGGAGGAATTCTCCCCTGTGAGGGTGGGGAGGCCCTGGCACAGGTTTCCCAAAGAAGCTGTGGCTTCCCCTGAATTCCTGGAAGTGTCCAAGGCCAGGGTGGATGGGGCTTGGAGCAACCTGGGCTAATGGAAGTTGTCCCTGCCCATGGCAGGGGGTGGGATGGGCTGGGCTTTAAGATCCCTTCCAACCCAAGTGTGGGTAACAAATGGAGTCCATGACCCAGCACAGGCTGGGCTGGAGACACAGTTACTCCTCCAACAGCTCAAGAAGGACTGAAAACCTTGAGCTGAGCTTAACTGGGGCTCCTGGTCAAGGGAGAGTGTGGATGGAGCCTGCTCAGGCCCACTAAGGCCTCTTGGTGCTCTCAGGTTCCTGACCCAGCCCAAGGAAAAGATTAATCCTGTGAGGAGAGGCAGGAGGTGGGAGCAGGGCCCCATGTGGGACATAAAGGCTCTGACAGGTGTGCACAGGGATTTGGGATCATTTGCCTCCTTCCAGCAACAGCTGAGGTGTGGATCAGTGAGGAGAAGGCCAGGGCAGGGCACAGAGGTTCCCTCAGCCCTGTCAGAGGCTCCACTCACTTCTTCATGACCATGTAGCGCAGGGAGTTGCCCAGGGTGTGATCCTCGTCGTGCAGCACGAAGGTGACACAATTCCCATCTGTCCCATCCGCCTGGATCTGCCACCAACGGGAAAGAAGAGATGCTGTAAGGCCCCCTGAGGTCAGGAACACCCGAAGGGCAAAGGATCAGCTCCTGTGCTCAGCTTCCCCAGAGGGTTCTGGGTCTGCCTGAGCCACCTCTGTGGCTCCGGTGCTGCCGTGAGACCAAAACACCTTCAGAGAGGAGGGAAAGCTTCAGAATTCCAGCTCTCCCCACTCAGGACACCTGTGTATTCCTCCCCTGCCTAGGAGAGAGGAGGAGCCCAAAGAAAGCTGCAGCTTCAGGATCCATGGTGGAAAGGAGCTGGAAATGACTGCTCGGGGTGATGTGATCCCAGGAATCACATCCCAGGGCTACCCAGGAATGAGAGGGACAGGCAAAGATTCCCAGGGAGGAATGCTTCCTGTCAGCAGGGAGATCTGATCCCAGATCCAAACAAAGAGCAGCACCCTGTCCCTGCCTCCTGAGCACAGTGTGAGCACCCAGAGCAGGCAACACATTGTGCTGAACCTGCTCCACACGGTTCTCTCTCCTCTTTCCTGTGAAGAGTCATAGAATCCCAGACTCACTGAGGTTGGAAAAGCCCTCCAGGATCATCCAGTCCAACCTGTGCCCGATCCCCACCTTGTCCCCCAGCCCAGAGCACTGAGTGCCATGTCCAGGGCACGGGCACTCCACTACTTCCCTGGGCAGCCCCTTCCAATGCCCGACCACCCTTTCCAGGAAGAAATTCCTCCTGATGAACCTCCCCTGGCACAGCTTGGGGCCATTTCCTCTTGTCTTGTCACTCTTTACGTGGGAGAAGTCCTCAGGTACAATTCCTGATCTCAGCAGGACCAGGAGCTTCCCTGCTCCTCGCCAAGCCCCTGGTACCTGCAGGCAGGTGTTTCACCCCTGTTCACTGCTGTTGGTAGAGGCTTCCATGGAAAACCAACACATTCCCTGAAGGGCAGATTCCTTCAGGGAATTCCACAAGTCTGTGCCAGTGTCACTGCAGCCCCTCAGCTGGGCAGTGCCAGTCAGTGCCTAAAAATGGGCCCTAAAAATGCTGCCAGGGGCTCGGCCACCTGCAGCAGGTGACAGAGAGGACAGCAGAGCCTGGTGTCACACCTTTAAAAAACACCTTGCTGGATAAAATATTAGTCTGAACTAGTTTGAAAATAGGTTAGTCCTGGCCTCCATCTGCTCCTGTTCCCCACAGGACAACCTCAAACACCCGAACTTCAAGAGGTTCAGCCAGAAGGTGCATTCCTTGCTGTCCCTCCTGTTCCAGGTGACACCACTCGCTCTCCTCAGCTCTATCCCTGCTGCCCACGGACACGGTGATGGAGCAGCTGCTCCACTCCCGGGAAAACCCAGCGGTGCCACGGGCTGGGCTGTGGGGGCTGTGGGGGCTGTGGGGGTGACACCTGGGGGGGTTTGGACACGGGTCCAAGAGGGAAGGCTGTGGGGCAGGGGCGGTGGTTTGCCCAGGGATCTGGGCTGTTTCCCACTGCTGGGATGAAGCACCAGCCCCGGGATGTGACCTGCGAGCTGGGTGTCCCTTGGAGCCACCCCCACTGTCACCATCTGTCCCGACAGCAATGCCACAACGCCCCTCGTGAGGGTGCCCTGCCACTGAGCCAGGCTTGGGAATCACAGAATCGTGGAATCATGGGAGAGTGTCCTGTACTAAGCCAGGCTTCGGAATCATGGGAGAGTGTCCTGCCACTAAGCCAGGCTTCGGAATCATGGGAGAGTGTCCTGCACTAAGCCAGGCTTCGGAATCATGGGAGAGTGTCCTGCCACTAAGCCAGGCTTCGGAATCATGGGAGAGTGTCCTGCACTAAGCCTGGCTTGGGAATCATGGGAGAGTGTCCTGCACTAAGCCAGGCTTGGGAATCATGGGAGAGTGTCCTGCACTAAGCCTGGCTTGGGAATCATGGGAGAGTGTCCTGCACTAAGGCAGGCTTGGGAATCATGGGAGAGTGTCTCACCACTAAGGCAGGCTTGGGAATCACGGGAGAGTGTCCTGCCACTAAGCCAGGCTTGGGAATTATGGGAGAAT